TGTGGTCCACAATCAATCTGCAGTCTCCTTGTCATATCTCTCCCACGCAAGGTGCTTCCTTGGAGACATTTACATCTACCATCACCTCCTTTCCGGCGAACCTGATGTGTTATGGCACTTTGCCTTGGAATGTAATCCTATTATCGCCTGCGCATCGCAGACTATGATTCCCTCACGACCTCACATTTGGTGGGGGCGGACCACCTTGGCACCTGGGCGACAAGCTCACTTCTCAGTTAATAACTGCTCTCTTTACGTGCACTCTTAATGAATATTGTTCGATCAGCTTTTCGCCTACATCGCACTACCTTTGCAATTCCACCGATCCACTGCGAGGTGTTCATAAAAGGGTCCATCAAAACCCTTAGTCTCAGCGCCCGCAACAGCTTGGTGCGTCGGCCTAAAGCAGTCATTATACTCTCTTGTCAAAACGTCGCAATTTTGAGGCCTGGAGTCGATACTAGCTCTTTGAGCATAACTATATAAGGTCGAATCTAAGACCTTGATTCGATTGATTCACAAATCTCCCGTCAAATACCTGGAGCAACTGCTCCGCAATTTAAGCAGACCAAATCTCCCGTACACAGTACCAGGAGTTGTTTTGAGTATTATCAACAAAGTAAGTGTTCCAAAGAAGAAATGCTATAAGAACTAAAACAAAAATGGCACTCCCATAAGATGCCCATCACCCTGAGTGCTCAGACGCTGAAAAACTTAGTGCTCCGTTACAAAGTACACCTCAAAAACAGATTTTACTGTAATAGATGAAGAGAACTATGAGAAATGTAAATCCGCAATGGCATTATTGCAAAAAGGCCTGCAGCAACTTAGATGTGGCCAGGAAAATTGGAAAAAAAGAAACCAAAGAAGAGTACAGAAATTGTAAATCAAAGTCAGAAAGAAAAGAGCGACGGAAATAGAGCAGATAGAAGAGGAGTCGGGCTTGAACATCGTAATGGCCGAATCTGAAGACCTGGAGAAAAAAAGTAACCATAAAGTGGCTCAAGAAGGGACTTCACGGCAATGCGCAATTTTTCATATTCCCCTGAAGCGAATTTTGGGAGGCGTATCATGAATATACGCAGAAAAAGGCGTATGTAATGAGGATGGAATTAAGGGCATCATCAACATGTCGTTCGCCTCTGATAGTAAGAAGCTACCACCGATCTCGATAGGTGCGACATGGCGGCACTGCTGCACAACATCCTGCCACAACTCCAAGCAATCGATGCAGCGCTGTCCAGACTGGAAGCCATAGAGACTGCATGTCAGACGATCTTGGAGCGCACCACTCCCAAGTCGACATGCAGTTTTTGTACATTGGATGAGAATCGAGATTCTCACTACTCAGGTGTAGCAGACACTCCGATCCCGAGTCACGTACTACGTAGTCACAACTTGCTGCTCTGTCACCAACGCAGGCAAGCACAACAGCCTCATAAGCGACACCGTTTCTGAGGCTGGATCGCCACCAGCAGTCTGCACCATCCAACGAGTAAGCACCTCTTCAGGCCGTCATCATTAATTCAACAAGCAGACTTCAGAAATTCAAACAAGCAGCCACTCTCCAAGGTCTCCCCACCACCTGAGAAGTCATGAGGGAATCATCGTCTGCGCATCGCAGGCGATGAGATTCACACTCATGACCTCACATCTGGTGAGGACGGACTACCTTGGCACCTTGGCGACAAGCTCACTTCTCAGTTGATAACTGCTCTCTGATACGTGCACTCTTAATAAATATTGTTTGATCCGCTCTTCACCTACATCGCATTACCTTTACGATTCCACTGATCCACCGCGAGGTGTTCATAAGAGGATCCATCAAAACCCTTAATATCAGCGCCCGCAACAAATCCGCTTACAATCAGATGCCGTTGCCGCTACCTTCGCTTCCTCCAGCCGCGGTCGGTCTAGCATCCTCCAAGCTTTCTCATCGATGATAGATAGGGATGCGCCTGTATCCAGCTCGTAGAATCTTCTTTCCATTCTCTTCCTTATCTAGCATTCGGCTTATCCGCCAACCGGTCTATCTCCCCTCGAGCAGGCATATCACTAGCCATCGTTGGTTTATCAGAGCGTTGCTCATTTGCCGGTAGCCTCTGTAGTAGCGGTTTCCACCTTCTGGATACTACCTCTGCCATATCGTAAGTTCCACTCAGAGGACTGCTTAGCTCTTCTCTCAGGCGATTCACTGCTACGCCACCCGTACAGGATCCACACACCGGATTCTTGCTCTCAGCTCTACGACAGTGGGTTAAGCGCGATTTACGAACTATATTCACGCTCTGATTTATCCACTCTTCGCCACTGTCGGAGCTTCCGATGGGCTCCTCACACAGTGAACCTGGCAGGAGTCTTCACGGCCTACCTCAGCATTCTTCCAACACGTCGCTGCTAAGTGGCCCTTTTTCTGGCATACTCGGCAGCATGCAGATTGCTTTCTGAAACATTCATCACCGGCATGGCCTAGCGCTCCACAAACTCCGCACCTAAACTCCTCCGAGCTAGGCCCCTGCACGATCTCTTCTTCTGTGAACCCGTTTGTGCGCTCCTAGCCAACTGCCGGTACCTGAGCCACCCGTGATGTTTGAGGTCCCTCTTTCAAATGTGGAGCATTTTCTCCGACTCGCTCGAATGCTTCAGCCTGTTTCAATGTCTCCTTCGATGAGAGGTCTTCTCCCCAACAATCGTTCCCCAGTCTCCACTGAGGCAACCCTCCGATGGAAACCATCGTTACCACCGCATCCCGGTGGTTTTTGATCTCCTCAAAACTGAATGTGTTCGCTGCCTTCTGCGATTCCGCGTAGTACTCGTGCAGGGCTTATCTTGGCTTCTGAACCTTCGACATTGGGCCGAAACGCTCTGTCAACACGAGCTTCTTTGGCTGGAAATGGCGTTCCATAGCCTGCCGAAGATCCTTGATTTCTACTTCTTTCAACTTCCGGCCTCCTTGCAGGAGCGATTCGAGCAACTCATAGTTTGCGTTGCACCCCCCCCCCCCCCCCCCCC